ATGAACAAATTCAGACGCCGGAAATTGAGAACACGCGCTGTGCGCTGTCGCGCTCGAATACATCCTATCTTCATCAGCGCCACCCCCCTGCAACCCTAGCAGACTCTTGTTGCCATCTTTAAAAAGGCACGTACAGCTCCACGACGCAACCTCTATATCCGTACGATGGCCGACATATTCCTGAGAAGCACGAGGGCTTGCTCTCTGAACGGTGGCATTAGTTGTGCATAGCACATCCCGCATTTTCTTTACGAGGGTCGGAGGACGTGACGGCGCAGTGATGTTCAACGTTCACATTCGACGTTTTTGCAATGCTACCCACGGTCAAGCTTCTGCTGTATCTTCTCTGTCACTATGTCATGTGACGAAAGCAGGATTTGAATAAGCCGGTGCATTGTGCGCCGTGGCAAGCCGTCCGAATATCCCAGGCCCCACTTCGCGACCGGGTGAAAGCGTTATTATTCACTGGGTAATCAAGATCCCCAGTTTTCCATTGGGTGCTAAGCTGTAGATGCGCGCATGGTGCATGCCATCGCCATCGCATGTTCTCAGATGCGCCCGTGCGTGCAATTGGCCACATCATCAAGTTTCTGTCTTCCGTGTTCTGCAGTTATCGTCAGATCGCCTGGAACCAGTGGCAGAAACTCCCAGTCTCGGGAGTCGCCGAGAGTACTACACGGAATGTTTATGACTGCAAAGTCTGTCGCGTATCACAGCCTCTCTCATCTTTCGCGGGTCTTGTCAATGGTCACCACGTGCACCCTTATCTCTGAGGTGTCTTCCTTAGGTTGCAACACTGGAGCTGTGCTATTCGCCCTGTAGTTGGCGTCACACGTGTGCGCCACCACTGCGCGATGTGTCATTACCTGCATTGGCGGGTTGGTGGCTTGGCTTCCCGCATCGCTGTTCCGCCAGAGTGGTACGCTTTCGGCTGCGGGCATTGCGCACCGCGTCTATGCTGCCCTACGTATCGACCTCGCGGTGATTTCCCATCATCGTGTACATGGCCCAAGGCTTATTTGATTCCTCTAGCCTCGTCCGAGCACCACATCTCTGCCCTCACTTGATTCCTGTTCAAAATACTGCTACATGTCTTGGACACCTGACGAAACACCTGCCGAGCTATGGCTCGATAGGATAAGCCTGATTGGAGCTGAACTGGCCGATGTTGCATACGGTAATGCCGTTTTTACTGCCATACGCTGCCTACACTGACAGGAAATCCGTAAAAGGTGTCCATGTAACCTTATTCTTCCTCTGTTTCAACGCATGGTGGAGCGCTCGTCGCCATTCGCCAAGAGGTGCTTACAGCACAATCGCCTTCATATCTTGTATCTTTGTCCTAGGCTCTGTGGGGATCGCAGCATCGATGCGGATCCAGCAGCTAGCATACATCGACGACAGCAACTTCCCTGGTGGACCAGGCGCCTTTGAGTCAGTCTCTGGTTACATGAAGATCAACGTCTTTGGTTTTTCAGCCTACACTGTAAATGCATGGTTTGCAGATGGGTTGTTGGTGGGTGACATTGAATTAATGTCAGCATTTTCGAGTCTTCTGACGAAGCTACCAGCTGTATCGCTTCTACATCTTGTGGTCTACCTCTCGACATCGCTGGGCTGTCATCCCTCCGTTTCTCGCATATCTGTTGTCCATAAGTGAGTGCATCTTGTACGCTTCTGTTGCACAGCTCACATAAATGTGCCCTAGTCTCATCGTCTATTCTTCTGGCCCAAATGGCTGTGCCCGGTGGCGCTCTGTGGCTAAGCACGAACGCGAACATGGCTCTCACGTTCTGGTCCGCATCGATCTCTGTCACGTGTTATTGCACGCTGGGTATCATCATCAAGCTGCTTTACATGCGGTACCAAGTCCGCAAGGCCTTCGGTGGCGGCGAGCAGTTGCCCTACTTTTCTGTTGCGGCCATGCTCATCGAGTCTGCACTGCTATACGTGGCGTTCGCGCTCGCATTCCTCGTCACGTATGCGCTGAGCAATAGGATAAGTTTCATGCTTATATCAATCTTGGGCCAGGCGCAGGTGAGCTTGACAGACACTTTGGTGCTTTCACCGCGATAAAACTTACATATGCTAGTCTATTGC